GGGCATGAAAGCAATTTTTCAATGCACAAGATCCCCAAAGCAATAAGTTAGGTCTGATAAAAAGCAAAGTAAAAAGACACTACATGAGTAGGTGATGTCTTGTCCACACTCCACAAGGCTTTTCCCAGGCTGTATGGCAAATATACAAATCAGATGTAATGTTCTATTTCCAGTTTATGGTTTATGAATATTTCTTTTTTTTTCTCCTCCATCCCTGCATTTTTCAGTCTACATGTTAAAGCAACACTAACTTTGCTCCCCCTTTCCACTGCCCACAACACTCCACAATGAGATTTCCAGTATCAGAGCAATCAAACGAATGCAAGATTGGCAATAAGCACCAGTTATTGCTTTGAGGTGGGGAGATCCCTTTGCTTGTGGAGATGGTGAGATTTTAAGGGGAAGGGAGAGTTCATAGTTCATAATCTAGATTGCTTTCCTCTGAAAGCAGAATCCTCCACCTCCTCTTGGAATCCAATAGGCCATCTCTAAGGCTAGGTCTACACTACAGAGTTTTTAAGCAGAAACAGCCATTTTTGCTCAAAAACTCATGGAGCATCCATACCTTACGCGCATTTTTGCGTACGTAAAATGAAAGAACAGAGGGTTTTTTCCAGTGTAGGTATTCCTTCTTCTGTGAGGAATAACTCCTTTTTGCAAAAGAGTTTTCGCAAAAAGGTATGTGTGGATGGGCAAAAGAGTTTTTTTGCACAAAAAGAGGCAATCGAAAAAGGCACAGGTGCCCTGGTGGCCATTCTGTAAATAGCAATCAGAGTTTCCTTTCGAGAGAGCCTCCATGCAGTCTGGATACTCTCTTGCACAAAAGCGCATCACTTTTTCGATGCTCTTTTGCAGTGTGGATGCGCTCTTGCTCAAGAAGTTTTTGTGGAAGATCTCTTCTGCAAAAAGCTTCTTGCACAAGAAGCCTGTAGTGTAGACATAGCTTAAGTGACTAAACAGTCAACACACAAGTGCATGACCATAGATATGCTGAAGCCAGGGTTTGTTTCTTAGAACATATCTTTTGCCAGCTTTTGTGTAAGATTTCAAAAGCAGTTGGACTGAATATTATGTGGCTTGTTTGGTAGGCGTCTTCATTGTGTCAATTTTTTTCCAATAGCTTTCCCCCCCCCCTTTCTGTAATACATAATGACAACAAAGAGAACAGAAAAGCCCCACAATGCAGATGACCAGTGAGGATAATATTGTCATCCCATATCAATCCTGTTCCTGAGCCTGGTGAAATGAAGAGGCCCTTTGGGAACATCAGAACTTCATCAAGACCAATTAGTGGAGATGCTGCTGCTGGAGTTTAAGCATTAATGACTGGGCTGGGTTGGTTTTTTGGCGGGACTAACATTGGCATGGAACGAAGCACCGACCTAATTACTCCTCTGCAGGAGCAGAAAATGCCTTGTGAATGCCTACTTGGCAAGCATGTCTCATTAAAGACAAAACAGCAAACACAAGCTCTCCTCAAAGCAAAAATTAACATGATAGGTAACCCATGGCTGTGAGACTTTCTTGTGGCTGTGGGAAATGAATTGAGGTTAGTCACACCAGCAGTATCTTGGCTGCTTTTTTCTCTACATGGTGTCATGGAACCAGTTTTTATTTTGTCTCTAAACCTTACCTTTTTGGTTTGCAAAGAGCAGTCTGCCTGTGAGAGGGACAGAGAACACCTGTGCATTGTAGGAGTGCAGTCATACATGCTAACACACTGGGCGTCAATGTGAAGTAATATGTGAAGGGCACTATACTAATGTCCAATTGAAACAATTTTATTTTTTTCCTCCAGGGTTTAGGAACCCTATACAGGGAAAGTGGTATTTGGTAGAGTTGAATGCAAAATTGGGAAAGAGGAATTTACTCAGTGAATTTAGCCACTCTTTCTCCTCACATAATATTCCTAAGCAGATGGTGGGTTTTCTCAGATTTATTGAGGAATATCAAGCTGTTCAGAAACTATTTCCTTCAGAATATTTTTCCAAGAAAAAATGGAAAAATTTTAGCAATACCTGTTGCTAAAATGTTCCTGTCTACTGATCCACTTTGTTCCTTTTTCAGATTTAGTCACTGATTTTCCTTTTTTGCCTTTTCTGCTCTGAGACTTGCCCTTGCATATTTGAAATCCAAACAGTAGGATTAATTATGAGTAATAACTTAATAATTCACATGGTATTTTTCTACTTGATTAGATGAGCACACTGCCATAGAGACTCTAGTTCATTGTTCATCCTCTCACAGTGTACAGCATAGATCATCATATTGCACAATATACTTCAGCTCCTCTGAAATGTCCATCTTTGTGCATGAGAGAGCAGGTCCGTTTTACTGCTAAAGAACGTGCTAGGTATTGGATTGGATTTTTGAGGGGTGGCTCCTCATTCACCAAATATGACCCTAGTTCCAGGGTAATATCACTAACAACTCCTTAATTTTGAGTTATGAATCCATAATCACAGTGGCTAACACTCAATAGGCTGACGCCTTTCTTCACTCTAATCTCCATGGAATGTTTCTTTTCTACTGTAAACTTAGAGTAAATGCTCTTTTGCTTTTCTGGGTCCATGGAGTAGAGCAGAAGTTGTCACCCATGCTCCAGCATGTCCAAAACAAGCCCGTTTCAAACTTTATTCACTTCCAAGCAGAAGTGAAAGTAAGCAGGTGGGCAGCTCTGGCAAGAGCTGGCTGAGCTGTGGCAAAAGCCAGCAGGGAGCTATTTAAAGAGCTGGCAGGGACCCAGGTTGCAATAGGACAGTACCTGTAAGAAACTGTAAGTTACTTTCACCACTGCTTCCAAAGCAATGAAGCTTGATTCAGGCCAGGATTATGCGGGTATTACTCTTCTGGTTCAAAATATCACCCTGGACTCAATAATCACTAATAAGCACAATTATTTAGTGTTTAGCTCAGAGAACTTCATGAGTTGAGGCTCTTTGGTTCTATTCCTGTCTAATCACTGAGCTATGTTTACACTACCATGTTATTTTGAAATAATAATTCCTGAAATAACTATTTAGAAATAGTGTGCCCATACTACAGGGAAGCCCCAAAATTAGTCCAAGGCAGGCTCCCTTAATGTGGACCCACTACCTGAACTTAAAGCCCCAGAAAGCATTGGGGAGTAATTAATTTGACTCTGGGGCATAGTTATTTTGAAATAACAGCTGCTATGGGGCCACACTAACCCTATTCCAAAATAGCAATTTTGAAAGAGGGGCATTACAGTAAACTTCCGGATAATTCCGCACCTTTAGGACCCAGGGGGTGCCGGATTATCAGATATGCTGGACTATTGGAAGGGGGGGCTATGAGGAGTTTGGGGTGAGGTGGAGGGGTATGCCGCCCCAGACCCCTCATAGCCCCCCCCTTCCGATAGTCCGGCTCTGCCCCAGGCTGCTGGTCAGTTTCAGCAGCGGCTGACTTGGGGATGCCTAGGGCAGAGCAGCTGGGGTGCTGCTGGGTTGGTCCCGCAGCACCGCCCCTCACCTCCCCGCTCAGTGCCCAGCAGCACCTCAGCTGCTCTGCTGCACGCTGCTGCTGAAACTGACTAGCAGCGGACTTGGGGAAGCTGCGGAGCAGAGCAGCTGGGGTGCTTCCGGGTTGGTCCTGCAGCACCACTCAGGGGAGGGGCTGCAGGACCAACCCGGCAGCACCCCAGGTGCTCTGCTCTGCACCGCTTCCCCAGGTCCGTAGCTGGTCAGTTTCCGCAGCGGACTTGGGGAAGCCGCTCCAATTGTCCGGCTGGCTGAAACACTTCCAGGTTCCAGTTGGTGCCGGACTATTGGGAGTGCCGGACCACTGGATGCCGGACAGTTTGAGTTTTACTGTAACTAGTTTGAAAATAACTCTGTAGTGTAGATGTGTCCTGAGTGAACTTTGGCAAGACTGGGGTTTAGTTTACCCCTATAAAATAGATAAAATGGGGCCTATCTACTCCAGTAAGAATTCCCATAAAATCTGTTGGCTTGATGAGTGAGTCAGAGGAAAGGAAGAAGACGTTGAATGTCAGTTACCCTTTAAAAAAGTGGAATTGAGCCATGAATGATCATATGTTTGTCAGGGACAGTTACACTTCAGATGAAGAGATTGAAGTCCCAGTACTTACAATGAGTTCATTGATGGATTTTAGCTATAATGAAACAGATTCCCCTTCCCCCATCACTCCCTCACAAGCTGAGCATTCTGCTTTCAAGCCCTGGTTCTTACTGATTCTGGCTTTTCAGGAGGCAATGCTTGGTTAATGGATTTTGAGATGATCTCTGTGGACCAAATTCAGAAGTCCTTACTGAGTTCTTAAATCAACTGAAACTTCTGCTAACTTCATTTGGAATCTAGTTTCTGAATACAGTCTAGATCAGGACCTCAGGATTTGGCCCTATATGAATGAAATCAAAACAGCATTTATTTCTGAACAGCAGGAGATAAGAAGAGAGTGAATTTAGAAGAGAAATACAAAAATAATTATATTGCTGTTATAGAACTTCATGCTAAGGATAGATGTGCAAGAGTTGCATTGACTGTACTTATTAATTATCTTTTATAGTAGTACTTTGTAATTCCATGTCATCTTTCACCTGGAGAGCTCAGAGCTCCTTGTAGACTTGAGTCAATCGTGTGATACATACATATCATATTATTTATTGAAGGGAAAACTGAGGCACTGGTGGTGCAAGGACTTATTCACAATCAGAGTCAGAGCCAGAGCCAGATCTAAGGATAGGGTCATGAACATAACTACCATCTGCCTGCTTCAGCTACTAGCCACATTCTTCTTTCCTCCTGCTGTACATTCTTTTTTTCTTCCTGCTGCTTTAGGCAAAACACTGCAGTGGGAGAAGATGCTGGTCTTATATAGATCATATGCTACAAGCCAGGATGCCTGGAACACACTTTGTTGTTTGCACAGCTGTGTTTGTTTTGTGAGAGTGAACATGAAGGACACTGTGGAAGCAAGTCACAGTAACTTATCATGTCTTTATTTGTTTTGCCATCAGGTGAAATTGGGTGGAGAAGCCCCAAACTCCAATGTAATCCATGTAGCTAATGGCAGCGGCGGCAGCAATAGCAGGAAGAAAAGTGTTGGTGGGAAATATGGAACCAAGTGCCACCTTCTGGACTTTGCCAATTCAGAGCGCCCACTGGTGGTAAACTTTGGTTCGGCCACCTGACCCCCATTCACGAGCCAGCTGTCGGCCTTCAGCAAGCTGGTGGAGGAGTTCTCAGGTGTGGCCGACTTCCTGTTGGTCTACATCGATGAAGCTCACCCATCGGATGGCTGGGCCGCCCCTGGAATCTCTTCTTTTTCATTCGAGGTGAGGAAGCACAGGAACCAGGAAGACCGATGTGCAGCCGCTCAGCAGCTCCTGGAGCGGTTTTCCTTGCCATCCCAGTGCCAAGTGGTGGCTGATTGCATGGACAACAATGCCAATGTGGCCTATGGGGTCTCCTTTGAGCGAGTATGCATCGTGCAGAGACAGAAAATTGCCTACCTAGGGGGCAAGGGCCCCTTTTTCTACAACCTCCAAGAAGTCCGGCTTTGGCTGGAGCAAAACTTCAGCAAGAGATGAAATCCAGCCTAAGCTTAGCTAAGTATGTCAAGAGCCTTGTCCCTTTGGAGTGATATAAAAGGGAAAAAAAACACACACTCTTTTCCAATAGGCTCTTCTGGGCCTGTTGCAAGAGAACAGATTCAATAATAAGGTCAAATAAATTTAAGCCAGAAAAAAAAAACACCCCAACAACAATACCACATAAAAGAGAATTGTGTGAAACAATGCTACTTCTGCCTTAACAGGATAGAAAAAGCCACTGTGAAAAGTGCTGCTGCTGCGCATGAAAGGTGATGAGATGAGATTTCTTTCCATCCCTTTAACAACATGTTGGCTTTAGGATGAGAAGAAAGCATTGCTTCCTGGAAGGCAATTCTCTGGAGAGGTGACCTCATGTATTTGATCAGGGACATCTCATTTTCCATTGAGGCTTATGTAGGCAACTTGCCAGCAGCCTGAGGTCTGCAATTAATTTGCATAAAATGAAATGGATTATGGCTGCCTTCCTACATTGATATAAAGGTATGACCCACCAGAAACTACAAGATCCACCATGCAATGCAAACTGGCTGCGGAGATCAAGATGAAACATTGTATGTGAGATGTGGGTCTTTGTACTCTCTGAAGGCAGCCTCTCTGTATAGTGTGTGTGTCTGTCTAACACACACACTTAGGCCTCTATATGTTCACAATTAAATTGGCAGCATATCACACCTTAGAACTCCATAGGTGCATTTGGCTCTCAGGCGTGTATGGGTGGGTGTGTGGGTGTGTGTGTGTGGGTGTGAGTGTGTGTGTGTGAGAGAGCGAGAGCGAGCGCGAGCCTGGGGGGCAAAGATACAGAGGAAAGAGGCTGCATGATCCTAACTGCGAGTGAGGGAGAAATAAACTGAGATTGTGTAATAAAACTATAACTTTGAAAATTCAGAAAGTAGGATCATTTGTCCTCCCCACACACAGATATACACATACATAGCTTATGTCCAGGGCAAGAGAGAAGAGTTCAGCTGATGCCAGCCAGCCTTCAATATGTGGAACCGAAAAGATTTATTTTATCAGTGTTGTTTTTTTCTTTCTTTCTTAAAAAGAAAGTCAGAATTAGGAGCTATTTTATGTTTAGTTTTGTAAAAGTAATTTATTTCTTTTGACATAGCAGGCATATTTTTGAGTGGGGAGACTTACATACCACTTTACCTCATTGGAATTGAAACCTGTCCAGTTATTACCCCATTAAAGTGGTCATGGAGATTTTTACTGTCCGAGTTGCCTACAATTAGTTTACAGCCATATTATTTCTTGGAAAGTTACACAGTCTTTAGACTCAGCAATTGCCATTCCATTAGTCAAGATAGCATTTTGTTCATGTTTCTTTCTTCTCAGAAGCTTTTTTTGGGGGAAAAAAAACCCATCACACTGGCTTTAAAATCAATCACTGCCTTAATTCTCTGACATTAAGGATGAACTGAGTGAATTATCAAGAACAATTGTAACAAATGGCTGGGTTTCTTACGAATGGCTAAGGGGAATATTCTGAAGTATATTTAAAGAGACACTGTCAGCTTAGACTATGCCGTAAGTATGTTTAGGTTTTATAAAAAATTACAGGATTTTGCAAAGCCTAACACATACGGACATGCTTCCATTGTGCTAGTACATGAGAACTGGGAAGTGAAACAGATTACAAGAGTGAACCTGACTAACCTAGTTTTCCAGTCCACGCTGAGAAACACAATACAAACAAACAGCATAAAGAGGGGAAAATTAAAGTAGAATATTAAATCTTTTACCATGCTAATCACCTGAGATCTTAATCTAAACACAGGAAAGGACTGAAAGAAAAGAGAAATTTCTGTTTTACAGTGTCTCTTTAATCATACTTGGCATAGTTTCTTTTGTTTTGGTATGAGTCCATTCAGGTAATGCACATGGCATTATAAAAAATGTTTCTTTTTTAAGCATAGATATGATATTTGACAGCAATTTGAGTGTGATTTTTAATGCATCCAGCATCATTCTTCCCTTTACACACACACACACACACACACACACACACACACACACACACACACACACACACACACAAACTTTGGTAAAGCATCCCAGAGAAACTTTACCAAGTTTCAGAGAGCCAAGTTCAGATGGGTGGAGGCAAGAGAATTGTACTCCCGTATTTCAGGATTTCAAAATTGGTCTAAGTGATTTGTGATGCATGGGAAGAAAGGGAAGATGACATACACTGTTGTCTTCTTTAGGGTATATAGTAAGAGGTAAGAAAAAAATAAAGAATGGAAAATTTAGGTTGAATATTCAATGTCTGCCTTCAGGTATCTGAGGCTGACTTCTCAGACCAGTCAGTGAAGTGGTCATGACCTACCACTTGCTGTGGTAGACTGTAACACATTTTTATGGCAATGTGGGAGAGTTACCTTAAACCTATGCGCACAGAAACAGGAACTGCCTAGTGGATTAATCCACCAGTTTATCTAGTGTGGTATCCTATCTGGCAGACAGCTAATGGTTGGCTTGTGCCCTTATGACTCTTATCCTTTCTAGTGTGACTGCAGATGTCCTCATAATCCATATAAATGTCTGAACCTTTTTTGGAATGCTATGAAGGATTTGAACTGAGTTGTGTGTTGTGGCAGTGAATATGATGATCAAAATACATCCTGTTTGTTTTTAAAAAGAATATTTTTATCAGTTTTAAACATGTTGCCTTTGAATTTAATTGACTGTCCCCTAGGTCTTGTATTATAAAAAGGAGTAAGCAGGGACACCCAATTTTCTTTCTGTGTGCCATTCTTTTTTATATACTTTTGATGCAAGTCTTATTTGTGTCCTTTTAAAACTAAATAGTATTAATCTTTCAGTCCCTCATTTAGGTTAATAACTCTTCACATTTCCTCTCATTTCTGGACCCTTCTCTTTTTGCTCAAGAGTACTGTTATCAGGTAGGGTGACCAGAGCTGAAAACAGTATTCCAGATGAAGATTTTCAGTGGGTGGGTGTCTATAATAGTATTATCAGTGTTATTTTCTATTTAATTCTTTAGACTGCTTCAGGCTATAATCCCATGTGCCTTGTAAAGCTTTCTCTTTCTTTTCTTTCTCTCTTCATTCTAGAGCTTTTATCCTCATCTAATGCATCTAATATAACTATTGAAGCATACTTTAAGATTACAAGAAGGAGTGCAAGTTAGTAAGTCTAATACATCTTTGCATAGCTAAAGTCATTGCGTTTTTTTTTTTAATTTCCACTATTTTGTCTCTCTTTTTTCTGAGGGGGTGTCTTGTTATTCATAGATGAGAGTTTTTTGAACAGAAAGAGGATTATAAAACTAGCTTCTCTAAATAGACAGTCCTCAAGGATCTGAACTTTCTTTCTTGGCAACATGAATTCCTGACCCTGACCAAAAAGCAAAGATGCTAGCAATTTCTATGGTTATCATAACAGGGATACATTCTGTACATTCTTTTGATCCCTCCTAAAATATATATATAGCCAGTATAGAAAAGAAGTGAGTTTAGATAAAAAGATGTTTTATCTTTTATAAGTGACTGATAGAAACCTTAAATGTAAATCCCTTAATAATTTGGTGGCATACAAGAATACAGCTTTTAGAAATCTTTTAAAACTTAATGAAATGTCACCATTAATGATACAAAGAGACACAGATAGGTAAGATTAATATCTGCAGCTATATTAGCAGGATTTAAAAAAAAAGTAAAAGGTAACCAATCGGGCTTCGCAATGTAATCTGATTGGTAGGTGAGTCAGGAAGGCATTTTACCACCAACATGACATAATTGACATGATCATGCATAATTGGCCAGATGCATTGTGAGATTGTTTGCCTTTGTCTGTGTCTTTATAGAAGGCATCTGCTGGAACAGAATAACTATTGTTCATTACAGTATGGCAGTGGAGAGTCAGACGCTGCACTTTGAAAGAAAAAATGTGTGGCTGCACCTAGGACTTTGAAAAGCTAATGGCAATTATTCTTCTGAAGGTTGTTTAGATGGAGAAATCCACGAACCTTCTTATAAAATATATCAGTGGTGTGTTTGATATCTTTATATGTTATTTGGTGTAGGATGAAGATTTTTAACATGTACATTCAGTACTATAACCAAAGGAAAAAAAAAAAAAGAGGTGTCAGGTAGGAATAATGGCCAGTTTTGTTCAACTCTACACCATGTCAGCGGCAAACTACACGTCCTAATTCTGGGTTGTACAGATGGGGGATGAGAGCAAGGTAAGGGTGCTAGTGTGCTCATGAAGAATGCTAACAAAAGAGTCACTAACTCCGTTGGTGTTCAGATGTCATCACACTGGCATTTTTCTGCATTTTGCTCTCTCTGGGTTTGAAGGGTCTGTTTGATGTCAGTTCATTTGGTGACTGGGGGTAGAGACGTTGTTTGTGTGCATCATTGTTTATATGTTAAAAATATACTTCACAGGAGAACCAGTAAAAATGTTTTGTAATATTGATGCTCTGTGGAATGTGTGCTTTTTTAGACTTGTTTTTTCTTGTATTTTAATAAAATCTATAGGCAAAAAGGTTGTGTTCTTTGGTTTCTTTTATTTTTAAATATGTAGTTCTACAGGTCAGTGAAAATATAAATGATCACTTTTTTCGATAGAACAGCCTATACACTAGTGTTTAGATCTTGGACTATATGGGAAAAACATAAATGTCAGAACATAAATGTCAGGATCTGTTTTCTTTTTTGTTTAATCTCTGATGAGCTTTTTCTGAGAGAGATAAAACAGAGCAGTTTATAAAGGTCTAGGGTGATATTTAATATGCACCGTACAAGCAATATTTCAAAAAATGAGCCCGAGGCAAGCACACACAAATGTCCATATATCTTGCACATGTGTGTGCAATGTAATATGCATCCAGCACTTATGCATGCAGCTATTTCATGAATGGAATGGCTTAAGGTGCTCAGGGTATGTCTAAACTACAAAGTTAGTTCGAACTAACGGACGTTAGTTCGAACTAACTTTAATAGGCGCTACACTAGCGCTCCACTACTTCGAATTTAATTCGAACTAGCAGAGCGCTTAGTTCGAACTAGGAAAACCTCATTTTACGAGGATTAAGCCTAGTTCGAACTAGCTAGTTCGAATTAAGGGGTGTGTAGCCCCTTAATTCAAACTAGTGGGAGGCTAGCCCTCCCCAGGTTTCCCTGGTGGCCACTCTGGCCAACACCAGGGAAACTTGTCTGCCCCCCTCCCGGCCCCGGACCCCTTAAAGGGGCATGGGCTGGCTATGGTGCCCGTGCCAGGTGCAAGTCTGCCAGCACCCAGCTAGCAGACCCTGCACCTGGCACGGATCGAGCCAGCCACCTGATGCCCCCCAGCCCTCCCCTTCTTCCCGGGACCAGGCTGGCAGCTCCTGGGAGCTTGCCCGGGACAGCAAGAGGCGGGCACCTGCCTGAGCTAGTGCGAACATCATGGACCTCGTACACGACCTCCGCACTAGGCACAGGAAAGTGGCCGGCTAGGGCAGG